CCCCCTCTACGTCGATTATTGACACTTAAAGCCGTTTAGTGTAATGTTTAAATATAATTCAGATGCCGTTAGCAGATGCAGCTCTTAAGCGCTGTCATAAATAACAAGTTTAAGACTCCTGCTCAACACCTGGCTGCCGTCTTTAACGCCAGTTTGTTTTGCTGTTTAGGGTCGCGCTCAGTTCCGTTTCCGTTGCGGCTATTGTTGCACTGGGAGTGCACACGAAGCACGTCATGAGTTGCAGGGCGTCTGATTTATGAGTCGCTTTTTATTTCACAAGCGCTGCTGCCGTCAAAATAAATATCATAAAGCAACAAATTGCGAGCTGCCCCACCTCAAGTTGTGGCGCAGTTGCCACAAGGCCGCAACATCCAACACGTGCCCAGCTGCGCCAGCCAGGCAGCCAGCCAGCCAGGCAGCCAGGCAGCCAGGCAGCCAAGCTACTGCCTGAGTCCCCGCCGTCTTAGTCCAATTGGCCTCCGGCTTTTGTGTGCATAAATTTTGAAATTGTTTGCCCCCTTTTTGTTTTCTTCTTGTTGTCTTTGGCCATTGTTGCACACTTTTTGGCCACAGTGTCCTCGGCTTAATAAAGTCGCCTACTTAACGCAAACGACAATGAAACGACATTCCATGTCTGCGCGCATGTGTGTGTGTGTGTGTGTGACTGTGACTGGGCCATGTGTCATACATCCGTATCCGGTGTTGGCATTGGCATTAGACCAGCGCTCAGACCAACGTTTGCCGTTTCCGTTCCGGCATGCGACTGTCTCTCCGACTCTCGCTTTTATTTTCTCATTCTCTGCACTTTTGTGCTCGTCTGCCCATTGTCGTCCCTTGTCCAGTTGCCTTCGTCTTTGATTCTCGTTTCATATTTTACTGCGTGTTGCCTTACAGCTCAGAACAAAGAGAACAAAAAATAACATAAAAAACGTTAATCGCTTTGCTCTTCCAAACGTCTCAAGTGTCAGTCGAGCAACTTTTCTTATCCAGCTTTAAGTCCGAGTTAGCAAGAGATGTTTTTTTACATTCAATGGAAACCTTCTGAACTAAGAGTGCAGTGGATAAAGGAAAAACATAATTGCGTTGCTGATTACTGCATGCAACTTGATGATTATTGAATTAAGCGCTAAGCACTATTTAAAGAGCAAAGTGCATATTCGCTCTGTACTCCAGAATACTTGATGTAGTAAGCGAGCAAGACCTTTATTTTATAAATTTATAAAGACATATAAAAACTAGTTAACTATAATATGCGATCAGAAATTGGACGGAGTGAATGCCAAAAGCTTTCGCTGGAAATATTTCGTTTAACTAAGCTTCCTTCATCTCGACGCAGCTAACAATTTCTCTTCTTATTAGCTTTTTTTCTTTTTCCTTTTCTGCACACTCATAAGCAATCCTCATTATGTAAATAATATTCTATTCCTTCCCTTAATCCAAATTTTCTTTATTCAAGAAATGTCTACAAAGCTGCACGACAGGCTTATTCCACACTTAGATCTGACTCACGGCAACAAATCAATAATTATAGCTAACTAAGCTAAAGAAATAAAGCCGCGAATACTTTAAGTCGGAGTTGCCAAAAATTGTGCTCAGCAGCCATATGCCCGAGACATTTCAGAAATACCCACAGGCATATCTTCAAGTACTTTACATTTATGAGATTTCAAGTCGCTCATCCTCTCTCATTCATTCCTTCCTTAAAACTGACAACTGACAATTCCAGGAGCACGTCTTGTCAACTACATCGGTTGGCTTAAAAGTCATCTAAAACTTTTTCTTCTTTTATAAACTGCTAATTTGTTATTGTTGGCTGACACATAAAAATAAAAGCGCCAGTTAGCAAATGTTTGAGCTAATCACAACTTTGCCCAAATTATTCACATAACACTGCGATTGAGTGCGTGCTAACGAGTGTGTGAGTGCTCGTGTGCACATTCACATTGAGAGCATGAATAGTTAATATAAATTATGGCAAATGTGCCACAACGACTCTTCCGCCTGTCCTTGAGCTTAGCTCTTGCCAATGTAGCTTATCTGCTGCATACATATACTTATGTATTTAAGGGCAGTCGGAGTCGGAGTCTTGAGCGGTTGACTGTCTAAATTGTACTTAATTTGTAATGAAGCTAATGAGCTTCTCGCATGAGTGTTTCAAATTCTTCCCCTTCAGGCGCTGGGTGGGCTTTATTTAAGAATAATGCTAAGGCTTTAGCGGCTACTTTAATTGTATTGCTTGCCAGAGTTTCATAGTCACATATGAAAATGCCAGCGTCAGTGTTCTTGACTTTACTCAGCTCTCGCTGACTTTAAGTTTGATTGGTCGAGGGCCAGCTAACAAGTTGTTTAAAATATGCCACTTAAGTTGTAAGAGCAAATGAAATTATATCAAATGAATAGCAGACGTCGCATACAAACTGAAGGTGATTAAAGAGAAAGCGTTGGCTTCATGCTGTTCGCATTAATATTTCATAACTGTTAAGAGCGATGCATTTAAATTTTTAATTATATTGCAGAGCGACTGGCTGAGCGATAGAGAGGGGGGGATGAGATGCTTTAATGGCCATCGCAGCACTTTACAGGCGCCGCTTAATCCTTTCGCGGCATATTTTCCAACGCGACGGGACTTAATGAGGCACATTTTCATTTCCATTTCCATTCTCATTTCCATGCCGAGCACGCAACACCACGCTACGCACAGACAATAAACCTGAATGCTACTGTCGGGAAATGAGATTCTAAGCCAACTTTCTTATCAGCAGTAGTTTGTCGGTTAATCAGCTCGTGGGTGATATCTTCAGGGAGCGTCAACTAAAACATCGTCAGTTGCTGAAAAGTTTTGATTAAAAGGCTCATTTGAATACTAAAATCGGCTTTAAATTAAACAAAAATAATTCTATAAAATATGTTACAAAAGCGAAAATCAAAGCTGGAGTTTGCCAAGTTAAGACCGCCTGCCGTAAATGCGAAAGCTTTTAGCGTAATTTACAGCAGTTTATCAAAAATCCTCTTAAACGCTCGCCGCACGTTTAAGCCTTAAACGGAACTCGATGTTGGCTGCTCAATGGAAATCTGTTTAATTAGTTATTATAGCTGTGATTTAATACTTTATGTTAACCGAAATATTTAATGAATTTATGAGATATTAATTTGAATGTTAAATGAAAACTATTTTAAAAATTAACCCCCAGCAAATTAATAAAATTACTTTAGTCTTGAATTTTAATTATGCTAATTAATCTAATTAATTGAAAGCCCAATTTTTGCCAAGCTCTGTGAAGTCCTTCTTGTTCCCATTGCTGTAGCCATCAAAGTTGCAAAACAGCATCCCCTGCAAATGTTTACTATTATTTCAATCTCTCTGTCTGAAACTCGAGAAATGCAAACAATTTTCCTGAGATATTTCCATGAATTATTTGTTCACTTTTGCCAGTTCCGCGCACCTTATTGCACTCACCTTTCTAACCGCCGCTCCGGCTGAGGCTGCTTCAACGGCTTCAACTGCTGCATTCGTGTGCAACTGACTATTATTTCTTTCTAACTACTTGAAGGGTATGCCTGAGGGGAAGGGTATATTTAAAGTGGCACAAAATATGGAACGCGTTGATTGAAGTCAGCTTGAATCTGTAATAATTGAAAAGATGTAAAAATCTGATTTGATTTATTAATGGGGCAAAAAGCTTTAAAATATTCTAGATCGCTTTTTTTAATTTTGTTTATTTCAAAATGCTTTGTTCTATGAATCTATTATAATTTCATATTGACTTTGTTATCTTTCTCTTTATTCTTTTTTTTTTTAATAAAAAAAATAAATTTGATTTACAATTACTTTCAAGTTTATTATATTAATGTTGTAATTATAATTTTTTTTTTTTTTTTTAATTTATAAATAAAATATATAAAAATTGCCTTTTTGATGTATTAGTGCTATAATATGAATAACACACATTATAATTATTTTATTATTATTATTATATTAAGTTTAGCTGATTTGTAGTGAAATTGTTACAACATATTTGCTTCATTAAAATTGTCTGCATTGCATTTTATTCACTTTTCTTTTCGTTTTCACACAGTCAAATAAAAATTGAAATTTATTAAAATTAAACTTATATAAAAATTAAAAAATTCCGACAAAATTAGTGACTAAATTTGCTCTTTGTCAAAATTGACTTCAATGAAAAACGTTGAATTACAATAATGAACCATACATACATATAATTTAAGTTAAAGCCAACATGATAACTGCATGCATTCATTTACTAACAGTAATCAAACCTGAAGGACTTATATATTTCCAAAGAGTATGCAATATTCGCTAGCCTTCAGTTAAATACGCTCTATTGTCTTGTTAATGTAAGTTTATTGTGTTATATGCAAGCCAGCAGCCCGCTGGGTCTGGGGTAGCGGAAGGTCAGACAGATGCCAGTTGGCTGCTGCACTCTGCGTAGATATGTAGACAACGGCGCAGCGCCGTACCTTTCATGGGGCCCGGACTTTAATTTCATTTAGCCCCTGACTGAGTGTCGGCGCTTGGTGCTGTCTGCTGGTTTATTTATGCCTGACCAACAAGGCCACAAGTCCGCAGTGCAACGCATAGGTCTGTAGTTAAGCCGGAAACCGGGTCGCCGCGTTGCAGGGATGTTAAAGCTGCCAACTGGCGGTTTTGCCACTCAAAGGCAAATGAAGTGCTCATGCCCCTTAAGCCCGCCCCATCAAATGCCAAAAGCGGTTCGCAACTGTCGCATCCGGCATGCAAAACCTGACGGCCCGAAAATTCCCACGCCAATGCCCTCACTTTGGCAACTAAAAATCTGATGGCAAAAAGAATCCAGCTGCATGCAATGTGACGTGACGGATATTGGTGTGAAAGTCCCTGTGGCAATGCGTTCCGCTGTCGCGTGTTTGAAGCTCTCAATTTGATTTCAATCTCAGTCACACGCGCTCTCACTCACTCTTTCTCTCTCTCTCTCTCTCTCTCTCCTCTGTCTTCCACACAGTTGGCTGGAAATTCGCGTTATGTGATTTGAATTATGCGACGCTAAGTGCAACAAGCTGCAATTTGCGTGTTCGCTCATCTGACACGTGTTTCCCCTGCCCCGCGGCAACACCTGCGCCCCAGCAGCAGCAGGTCTCGATGCCGTAGCTGCAACTAGAGCTGAAGCCGTAACCACATCCGTTTCCGGTCGCCGGCGTCGCACTTGATGGATTGTTCAATTTCAAATAAAATCACAATATCCACCACCCATTGAGACTTATGTGTGGCCCATTGAGTGCAGCAACATGTTGACAACGCACCACCTGCATCACTTGCATCACCATCGCGGCAGCACGGCGGTTGAGTTGGATAAGATAACTAATTTGAATACGGTAAGTAATCGTAGGGTGTGTAACTATGATAGCTGTAATAATTATTAGCTTTAAATATATTTAATTTAAATGAATAACTGAGCAAAATGGCATTTGCTTATAAAAATACCCTCTATCATTATACCAATAATTGATTCCATAATTGATTTCATTTATATACATCCATTCATCCCTGCTTCCATCTGTCACACCATTTTTCTGTACCTATTTTTCCGCGAGAGTCCAAAAACTCTACCTTAGTTTACCTTATTTTAGATACCCTATCAGAATCCCTCCATCAAAACACTTTATAAGAAGCTCAGGCTATATCTCCTACATAAACGATTCCAATTGAAATAACTTATCGTTACTAGAATTTACCGCCTCGATGTTGAACTCTTAGCTCAGCAGAACTCAATGTCACGAATAAATTCTTCAGCAACTGTGCAGCTGCAGCATCAGCTAAAAGGCTAAAGCCAATGAAAGTCGAAACCTTTTCAAATTAAAATCTATTGGTAAATCGTCTGCGAGCAGCTTTACTCTGGTTGGCGTGGCAACTTAAGTTGACGGCGCCTCGGCGTATGCAACATTAATTTTAAGATCCGTTAAAAAGGCAACGGAAATGCCGTTTCAGTTGCTCGCTCGCCTCTCTGTGCTCTCTCCCTCGTTGAAGCTGAAAGCTGATTGCAGTGGCCTTCAATTAAACTTGGCAGTTGCCATAAAGTCAAAGGAAAAGCAGCTCGAACTGTTGCAAATAATTCGCAATTTTCAGAATTGTTGCAGCAGTAGCAGCAGCAGCAGCTGTGAGCATCCGCTTGGGGAATAATGAAAACAACATGAAAGAGGAAAAAAAATGATAAGAAAATCAGAAATACGAAGAAAATTAAAAGGCATTCCATATGTGACAGCAGCTGGTGGGTAAACAATATTATGCCAAGGATTGCATTAATTTCGATTAAATATAAATACGAAGAAAGCACACGAAATGAAATGAAAGGGTATTTCGTGTATGAGCACGCATTGCTCTGCAGTCCAGTGTCAAGTGCGCCAATTTAATATACAGCGCGTTTTTCATCTCTGCCATTTTTCGGACGAATGAAAAATGCTGCTCGAAAATTCAGAGCGGTCCAGCGCAAAGGAAAATGTGAAACACGTTTATTGCCATTCATTATATTCTCGCGAGCTGTTGCGCAAAGTAATGAAGCACTTTTGTACCACGAGACGCGGTGCTCGGCGCGCTATCCTTTTTAGCGGCCACGCCCACACGCCCGTACGCCCGCCGGACATGTTTTTGCTTTTGAAAAATAACAACAGCGCGCCAACTGGCGAATCGACTGTGATGAGAGAAAGAGAGAGGGAGAGCCCCGGCTTAAGAAAAATTGCTAGCTGCAGAGTGAAAATAATAATTTTTTTTTTTTTTTTTTTTTTTTTTTTTTTTATGGCGATTGCAATTTTACTAGAGGCAGTCCTAGCAAGTGTGCTATGTGTGTGCGGGTATGTGTGTGTACGTGCACAAACTACAAGCAATTTTCATTAAGTAAGTGCAAGTGCTGCCTCAAATAAGAACAATAATAACAAATATTAAGACCACCAATACGTCTTCATTACGCTACTTCAAAAATAATGAATGGCATGTTTGTGTAAACACATTTAGCGGTCACTGTTTATATATATTAAGGGAAAGAGACAAATAGACAGTGAGGCAGAGAGAAGCTTGAAATTTGTGCTCAAGTGGAGCATTTGTCTAACAGCTCGTGTGCGAAAATGTGTTCAAGGTCAAACGAATTTGGATGACTTGGGCGAATCGCCTGATGGATATAAAACCGCACAGCGCAAAGTTGGAAAAAAAATGAAGGAATACTAAAGAGCGTAGAGACCATATGCATGTACCCTGCATAATATACCCTATAATGAACTTTCAATTGCATTCATATAACAAATCTCATCCATCTTCTTCGTTCTCATTAAATTCTTTTTGCGCATGTAATTTTTTATTTTTGCAAAATTTTTACTTGACTCTCATAATATTTATATTCATGTGCCATGCTCGAAATTTAAATTTTCATTCATTCAAATTTCTTCAGACACGTTCTTCGTAGAGCTTATACCCTTTCATATGTGTAAGAGCCTGGTAAGCTTAAAGCAAACATGGGATCGTGTGCAGGCTACATGCCTAGGCGAACAAATAGTTACAAATGACACACGCATACACATACACACACCCATACATATCTAGCTCTTTAGATGGTATACATTGCGTTCTTGAACTTTATCGTATCGCTTTCAGTGCGTCTAGTAGGTAAATGCGTCGTACACACCGCCCTCATTGGTTGTTCATTGTCAGTCAGCTTGATTGATAATGTAAACTGAGCAGGCCACTACGCTGCGCCAAATGGACGTGGTACGTGCTGCCTTACCCCATTATCGTTATCGCCAGCCATTGAGTGGGATAGCTAAGCTCGTTCAGCGGCCCCATGACATGACACCAAACACTAAAAAAGCAGCCAGTCAGTCAGTCAGCCAGCCAGCCAGCTAGACGGTTGAGCATCTTATCGATTTAAGGCTTTTGCCTCTGCGCTATCGTTTGGCCAAAAGTGCGAAATGGACGCAGTAATCGTGGCTAAGATAAGACTAAACGCGTCTGAGAAACAAAAAGGGTTTGACTGATGGATGAGTTTTTTTTTTTTTTTTTTTTTTTTAGGGAAAAACGCACATTAGGACTCAGCGTTGACTTTAGTTTTTCATTCATCTTAGCTAGAGTCTTTTAGAAAAATTACATTTTAATAATGAAAAAAAAAAATGAAAAAATTCTTCGAGAAATCCAACTAAAATTTTACATGCTCAATAATATTTTTAAAATAATACAAACACATAAAATTGCTTTACTTTAATAAATTCTTTGGGTATTTTAAATTTGAGCTTTTATATGAGTAAGCTTATTATTTTGTTTTTAATGTTAAAGCTTAACTTTTTCATATATCTCCTTTTTTCATGTAGAGCTAAACTTTATGAGATTCATACTACATATATTTAAAAGTTGTCTGTGTGCTTGAGTTATAAAGTGCTCTCAATGAATTTATCAAGTGTTTTCTCCTACAGGCAAAATGGTTTGAAATGCATGACCAACACCAATTTAGAGCACCCTCTTAGTATCACATATAGTTTTGTAAGCCAGGGCTATTCTGGTTGCTCTATAGTTGGAGCTTAAGCTCCAACCATAAGCTCCTGCCATTCCCTCAGCAATTGCTAGCATTAGATCCAGCAAGCGTGTACACATTTATATTTTACGTCTGAACACAATTCAGAACATGATTTTAATGGGCCACAACAGTACGGCCTGTTTATGATATATACATAATTGCCAATTGGCCCATACCAAACGGCCTTCGTTGGCATTATGTGGCCGACTGCCACACGACCTACGGGGAAAACACATGAAACGCAACTGTTCGACATTTGGTCTCCTCCAGTCTTTTGTTATTGCTCGCATAGTTGTTCAATGGATGCACACATACATACACACACCCGCACACCCACTTGTACATTTGCTATTGCCAGCCTGTGTCCAATTGCACTCGGTATTGTTGCACTTTCTGTTGCCGTTGCTGTTGCCGTTGCTGTTGTTGCATTAAGAACCTTTCGAGTCCATGCGAAGGCCAACTGCCAGTTGGCTGAATTCAGTCAGTTAGCTCGCTGACTAGTTGTTCGCTTCCGGCCTTGCTGGCAGTTCGATTGTAATTATGCCATTGTTGAGCTTGTTGGCTAATGTGCTGCTGCCACTGCAGTGGCTAAGCCTTGCCGCTCTGCGAGCGTGTGCGCCAGGCCGAGCATATCAACAGATGTGAAAAGCGCATTAGCGAAAAACTTTTATCAGCTGCTTGCCACTCACGTTGCCAGCACTGCTCTCCTCATCGCCCTTAATGTTGCACATTATTTATGTACAAGCCATGTGCAGCAACGTTGGCCCAGAGCCCTTGCATATTGCACTCGGACATTGCCACGTGTTGCTGATGCTGCAGCATGTGGAAGCGGCAACTGAAGCACAGTATTGGTTACATGCCTCAAAGCTGTTTCCACTCGATAACAGCATGCTGCTAAATTGATTGAAATGATCTGATAATACATAATATAGGAGATTTTCTTTTATTTTTTTTTCCAAAGCGGGAATTTGTACTTAACTAAAGAAAAATTTAAGAATATAATAGATTTCTAATTTTTTTTTTTTCACTTATATCATTTCAATACATTGCCTATTCCATCAACTAAGAAAATATAAGTAAATTTTGATTCCAAATATTCAAGCTTCTCATCTAAATATTTACATATTAATTGAAAATTTCTCAAGAGTTCCTTTTGTCTCTAGAATAATAGATTGCTAATATCTTTATTATCAATTTTTTTTTTTTTTTTTTTTTTTTTCAGTTATATCATTTCAATACATTGTCTATTATATAAGCTAGATACTATAGCTCTTCCATCAGCTATGAAAATATAAACTAATTTTGATTTGAATTATTCAAGTTTCCCATCTAAATATTTACATATTAATTGCAAAATTCTCAAGATTTGCTTTTGTGTCTCACACACAAAAAAGGCGATTTGCAGCTGAAAGAGTAATTGAGAATGTGCCCTAGCAGAAGTGCTGACAGTTCTCAGCACAATTGTGTGTGTAGGCAGCGCGGTTCGTTGTGTTTTATAGTGTGCATTGGCCCTGAGGGGCTAAAATAGGCGTGCAAAAAGCATTGTGAATGCATCTAAACCACTTACCATGTGCCACAGCCACAAGCAGCAGCAGCAGCGGCAGCAACAGCCGCCCGCAATTCTCCAATCCAAATGTTCGTACACATCCTTATCTACTTCATTACGAATGCAATGCAGTCCTTTGTCTCTTGTTGCATCGCGTTCTGCTTTGTAGAGCAATTTTAATTTCCGCTTTCACTTTGCCTAGATTCAGTGTTTGTTTGCAGCGCCGTCCCGCCATCTCGTTCAGACTATCTGCACAGTCTGGCTCAGTTTCTGTCTTCTGATTTTCCCTCTCCCTCTCTCACTCTTCCTCGCTCGCTCTTTTACATTTCTGCTTGTCCTTGTCTGGCCATGTATTTGCTGATTTACACTTTAGAACGAGTGTGTTTTCTTTTAGCCACACACACACACACACACACACACACACACACACACACACACACACACACACACACACACACACACACACACACACACAAGCACGCATGCAGCTTTTCTTCCATTTTCCCTTTTCACATTGAGTGTAAGCAAAAAAAAAAGGGACAAGCGCCAGCAGCTGTTTTTCAATTTTCCGCTTCAACTGTTGAAGCAAATGTTGAGCAACTTATGTAGTTTTTTTTCCATTTTCGCAGCAGTCTTGTTGTTGTCCTTGTAGAATAATAAAACAATGGCGCATGAATATGCAGGCCGCAGCTTCTACAACACGTAAATCTCTTTTAGCTGCTGTTTTCCATTAAAGCAAAAATGCGTTGAGTACCAAAACTATTTGCGGTAACTGTGTGTACATGGAATTGGACACCGCTTGGAGAATTCAATTTGAGCTTCTAGTTTCGTTTTTTTTTTCCTGTTTTCATGTTTGTGTTTTTGGCCAGGTTTATGTGCAACTCGCTTGGCGCTGAATAACAGCTGCCTGAATAGCTGCCAGTCAGGTAATTTGCGAAATGCGTTCTCTCTTTTTATTTACTTTTTCTGCTGTCTGCTCTATTTGGGGGTCCGGCTTGTCTTTTGGCTTAACGCTGTTCTTTTAGTGGCTGTGCAGTGCCTTATTATGCGAGCCACAGTCGTTTACATTGGGGATTTGCATGTGTGTGCTGCATGCGACTGTATGCGTGTGTGTAAATGTGGCTTACGTCCTTATCTCAGCTGAGATTTAAGGTACATATAAAATTTATGCGTCTGTGGCTGCCGTACACATACGTATTTATTTGTGTGCGTGTGTGTGTGCGGGAGTCTTTTTCCCGTTTTTTTTTTTTTTTTTTTTTTGGTTAGTCTATGCTTTGTTTTTATACCCTGTAGTCGTAAAACTTCCACCAAAGGGTATCAAAAAAGTCGTATTAAAGCGAAGCCTTGAAGTCTACGCAAACTCTGAAGCAGGCAAACAATTCTATTTAAATTTGCAAGAAAGTTTATTTCCATTTTGTTGCGATATTCGTGTTGAGATAATTGCAGTAAAATATTTACTTTGTATGAATGTATTGTATATAATTATTTTAAAGCGTATTTAGTTAAGTCACATCATGTTGAGCTGCTTTATTGTCTGGGCGCCGCAGCTCTTCAGCTAAGCAAACAAAAAGGCTGCAGTCATTCAGCTCGAAGTCTACTGTACCAGCCATAAATGGCTTTTAGCCTGCGGCTATTTTTAAGTAAGATTAGCAATCTTAAGCAAAAATAACTGTAAAGCAGCAGAAGAGTAAAAATATCTGTAGAGAGATGGAAAGAGTCCTTGCCCAAGGCAAATTTCACTTGGAAATTTAATATGCCCACATGACCGACATTGCTGTGCCCAAGTTGATTGAAAATTGAATTGAATTTAGGCAATGGATGCATTTAAATTCGCCAAGAAAACTCTATCAAAAGCCGCATTCAGATAGCTAATTGAATGCCACTTGAAAGGGTATTTTCTAGTTAAAGTAAACCTGCCAATGTGTGCACAGCTTATGAATGGAATTCGTCTAGCTTGGTATTAGGTGGCTCTGGCTCTGGAAATACGTTCGTTAAAGCAGCTTTTGGCAATTAGAGCCTGGGCTCTGCCAAATGTCAACAGTCAAGGGAAACGCCCAATATGCGAACCAATAAAATATTGCTCAGGCAACAGCAGCAGCAGCAGCAGTTGATGACTCGAGCAAAAATTTTGCCATTGATTGACAACAAAGCAATGGCAATGACACGCCCACAACGCCCACAGAGCCACAATGTTGCCAGCGTGCCTAGTTGGCGAAAGTTTTACGCCTAGAATTTTTCATTCAACTTGGTACTTTTAATAAGCAATTTGCTTAAGTGCTGCGCCCGCTGCCTCCTCCTTTTCCTCCTCCTGCTACGCCTACGGCTTTGCCTTTGCCTTTCCTTCGTCTTTGCCTTCATCCCATTGTCAATATGACTAATCATGCATATATTTTACAGCGAGATGTATGCCAGCTCTCTCTCTCTCTCGGTCTCTATCCCTCTCTCTCTCTCTCTCTCTCTCTCTCTCTCTCTCTGTCTCTATCCCTCTCCATCTCTCTCCATCTCTCTTACAACAGCACAGCTGGCAGCTGAAATTGAGTCAAGCCACAAAATTCACTTTGCATTGCCAGCGGCGTCAGCCGTTGGAGGATTATTAAAATTACGCATACGCCGCGTTTTAAATGAAGTGCCTGCTGCCGCTGCCGCCGCTGCTGCGCCGTCTGTGCATGGTACAGCCTCAGCTGCTGCTGCTGCTGCGTAGCCGAGTCAGTCATAAATATGTTGAGCTCATTTGCTAGTGGGCGTGTCGCATATGCTGACGCTTAGTCCACGCCGATTTGTACGAAATATATTTGTGGAAATCAGTCTCCTGCTTGGCTAAAAATACTCATAAGCTGTAAAACAAATTGCCAAAGGCGCACACAAAGGCAAACAATAAATAAACTGAGATCAAATGCGGAAACATATTTATGGCCAGCCAAAGAGATATCGTTATTTGGCTAAACATTTATCGTCTCGAGATAATTTTAAAATTAAATTTAAATTTTCATATATTATATGAGTATTATACTTAGTCATTATACTTATCGTTAAATCATTCAAACATTACATGGTAATAAATAATTACAAGAAATATGAAAGAGACTTGAAATCCATTTATAAAAGCCCTGAGCTCCCTCTAAATGTTGGCCGTTTAGCGATGTCTGCTCACTCTCTGAGGAAAATCTCAGGGAACAGGCGACTGCATCGGATCTTGAAGAAGTTCGTTCGAGGAGAGAGAAACCTTTTTGTTTACTCTGATTGCTCGCTGATCGTTTGGTTGAGTTAAATGAGACGAAAGGTCTTTTGTGTATATATGGGAAGGGTATGCACGCTAATCACATCTACAGAGCGTATGGGAATGTGAATGTGAAGACCGTTTGCATTGATTTACTGAGTCCCATTGTGCGAGCATCTATCGTATCTCGCTCCTTAAAGGCTTCTCAGCAATAATTCAACTCAAGACGTTCAACAGAAACCAAAAAGAAGAAGAACCGTGGTCCCTTGCGGGGTCAGAGTGAGAGCGAGTGAACAATTATTTGCATGCTATGCATACACCTCTAATCTCTAGGGATAATTTTCCTAATATACGCTTACCAAGAACCACTTTAGAAGCGTGATGATGGTCAGCATTCGAGGAGCTATTGCCGGAAAAACATTGGCATATATCTAACAGAATTTACTCAATTTTCCACTTGCATAAATACTAATCTATATATATATATATATATATATATATATTCCTATAGCTTACATACTTAAATAAGAGAGATATACATATTTGCTACTCTGCATAAATAAATAATAATTATTTTTTTTATTTCGCTTTTATTGTGCTCGAACGGCTTATGTTAATGAACATAATTCAAGATATCTATATACCCGCGTGTCTGTCATAAGTTTGATCGTAAAAGGGTCTACGAACAGTTGGGGATATAAACAAAGGAGACGGAAAGACGAGTCAATCTATGCGAGGAGCCGCATCCTTTTTCGTTTTAACGACTTTGCATTGTTAGGCATTTTAATTTTTATGAGTACGATTTGGCCAAAGGCAAGAAAATTAGGCTCGATTGCTCGATTTATTTGCCGACACTGCTGCCCCCGCCGTAAGCTGGCAAATGAGCCGTAAAAAGGCCAAAACAAAAACCAACAGCAAAAGCGCCAGCAACAACAACAACTACCACAACAACAACTACGGCAACGAGAGCAGCTCGTTTCCGCCAGATAGCCCAAAAATATTGTTGCGCCTGCGGTTTTGTATGCTGAAGGTCCTCTTGCTGCTGCTCCTGCTCCTGCGCCGGCTTCGTCTGCTGCTGCTCATGCTGCTGCTGCTTCTGCTTCTGCTGTGCATAAATTAAACTGTATAATGTGTAATTTGAACGGGCCAATTGAGAGAGCTCGGCATAAATTAAGCATGAATTTTGTATTAAAGCTTTGCATCCACGTTGCCGGCATAAATTAAATCATTTGCCTTGCACTTGCAGCTCATCGTGGAGATCAACAGCCATGTGGCGCTCTTTCGCGACATGCTGATACATGTTGGCCAGGCCAAGGACTGCCCGGAGCTGCGCGAAAAGATACGCAAACTGCGACGCACCTGTGTGGAGGCATTCAAGCACACGGCCCAGATCCTCATGCCACAGGTCAAGAGGTAAGCAAACAGTCATAGACTTATCAAGCCCATAGCCCCAACACCAAGCCCCCCACATCAAATTTCTAGGGCGAACCAGAGCAACACGCAGCGCATTAACATAAACATAAACATCAGCATGTGTGTGACATTTTACGGCTCACATTTCAATACCCTGTAGTGGGCAGAGGGGGCTGACAGAGTCCAATGCTTAAGCAAGTGCAATCGAAATTTTATTTTTCAAGTAATCCAGAAATTTTTGATATATATATATAGTATGCAACAAAAAAAATATAAATAAAAACAAAGAAAAAACTAGAAGTATTTTAATTTAAATATATACAATTATTTATATAATTATATTTAGTATAAGTTTTATGAGTAGAGTCTATCTTTTAAAATAATTGCATAGTTTTCTTATTTACAATTATCTGCTAATCCAAAGAAAATATCAATCATATTGTTAAACATTTTACAGGGTATCTTTTGCGCTTTCCATTCACAGAATATTTGGCGGAAAAAGCTTTCAAAGCTGTACATTTTTTGAAAATGTATGCAAATTTAATTGCAGTCAAATTTACAAGAGGAGAACCCACCCAAAAAAGGTATCCGTGTTAGCCAAAAAGGGCTAACATAAATAACAATTTGTCGCTGTTGCTGGAATCCCTCTTACCAGAGACAAAGAGACAGGGGAGGAGAACGAGAGAGGGGGGGAGAGGGAGAGAGCCCGTCACTGACGAACAGCCAGTGCAGCCAGTGGAGTTCCTAAAATGAGTTAGTGCTGTTTTGCCATTTGAGTTTGAGAATTCAATTTCGAGTGCTGCATAATTTAGCAGCATGTGTTTTACTGGGTTTGGGGCGCTTAACTTTTTGGACAGTTGCCGTGGGCAACGGACGCAGAGTAAAAAGTTAATAACATTTTGTTTCGCAACAAGCTGCCGGGCACAGCACAACACACGCACACACGTTCAATTACACACACTCATGCAATTTCTTTCATTAAAGCTGTTGATGTAAAAAAAAAAAAAAAATTTGTGGTGTGTGTGTATGAAGTTTTTTTTTTTATATTTTTCTGCGAAGTCAGACAAGTCAAGAGAAGTCGGGAATATCTAAATGCAAGAACAACTGCTGCTTACTCCCTTTATAAACGTTGAAAGGAAAATTTTCTTGAGATGTTTGTAACAATGAAAAGAAACGTTACTTACTACTAATATATTATAAGTTTAAACTTATTTATTTTAATACACCTTGCGGTGTATTAGAGATTTTTTAAGCTACTAGGAATATCATCGCTGAAAACTGAATAAAAATTCCAGTTTTTTCATCGAAGGAAAATTAAAATTATACATCCGCCCTTTGAGAGATAAATCTTTTGATCAGTTTACAAAAATATGACTTTCTATTTGCTAAAATACATTTATTTTTGGATTTTTTATTTTTATTTCTATTTTTTTTTTTTTTCTAAAATACTTTTTGATTATTTTATGATTATTATTTTGTTTGCTTAGATTTTTTTACTATGTCTAGTTACTATGTCTAGTTGATTATGGTGTGCATTTGTATAAGCCGCTTACATGTGATGCCTTTTTATATCAACTACATCTGCATCTCTTCGTAGCTCAAAGAACATTTACATTTGTAGGTTGGCTAAGCAGCTCAAATATATATATATGTATGTATGCTCAGCTCGTGCTTCGCCAAGTCCTCAAGTTATTGATTTATGCTGTCGTTGAAGCATAAAATGCTACAAAATGAGTTCCCATGTGGCTGTCACACATGCGCCATTATCACACGCGCTCGCGTCAGGCTAGAGAAGAGAAAACATCTTTTTAACAAACAACTTTAGCGAAAATTCATACACAATACAAAATGTATTTTTCGTTTTTGTTTTCCTTATTTTTTCCCTCTTCTATCAATTCTCTTTTTGTAATTTCAGTCACAAACTCAATAGAGCAGGCTGTCAATGGGATGTGAGAGGAAGGCAGAGCGAATGCGGGTGTTAGGTGTGGGGCTTATGCTATTTGGGTATAACTTTTTAAGAACATCCTACGACAGTGTGATTTATTATTGAGCAGACGCTTTAAGTGCCACTGCAGCACAGCGGAAATGTCAACCCACAAAAAAGGAAACGAGCATCAGCATTTGTGATTATTGTCATTGTAGCATGTATGTAAACCAATATAAATGCTGCAGAGGTCATAAGCCCAGCTGCACAATGCTCTGTCTTGGGGAGAATAAATAAATATTCTTTAATATATTGCTGAAGTTTGCTAAAAACGTAAGAGCTAACAAAAATAGTATACCAACACGAATCTTTACCTTCTACGGAATCGAATGTAATTGCTTTATACAAACAGACATTGAGACGGGCAGAGCGGGGCAATGAAAGATGACAAATAAGCAATATACTCCTTTACCCTTTGGGAACAGCATACAAAGTGCAAGGACTGACAAAATGAAATCAACTTTTGGCAGCTGAAATTGATGATTGGCTCTGGCTGTAAGCCAAAGGCAAGGAGAACAACAACAGCAGCAGGGAACGGCAACGGCAGCAGCAAATACAATGAGACTGACACAAGAGATTTCAATTAATTTTTTGGCTTTAAATTGGACACGACAAAATGAGGAGCTGGCCCCCAGCGAAAGACACCCAGCGGCGCACACGTCGTATAAGTGATGACGATGAATTAGCGGCAACAGCAGCAGCGACAGCAACGGCAGATCAACGCGCCAGGCCAGAAAGTTAAATTGAAAGTAAAAGTTCAATAAAGCAAAACGGAAAAGAAGTGAAGGGAAGGCAGAGAGCAAAGTTACGAGTGGGAGGCGAATGCTTTGGCCAAACTTTGAGCGCAACTTGACAATGACACAGACGCAACTTTCTGACAGTGTTTCGTTGTTGTTTTATGTTTTGTAAACACATGCCTCCGCATGTGGAGCAGCCAAAGTCACAAAAGCAAACAGAAGGAGAGAAAAGGCAGCACACACGGAAAAAGCATAAATATGTTCGGGCAAAAGACATGACGAAGCCGATATACTCTAGCCAGAAGAAAACTTAGTGTTTGTGTTAAAGCAATGCTGATGGCAAAAACTTGTAGAAAATATATGTATTCGTATTTATTTTTTACTCAAACTTATATATTTCAAGTTTGTCTTAAATTTATTTAAATCTCTTTAATTCAGTCAGCATATTTTCATATGAAAAATTCTGTTTTATTTGCCACATGTGCTCACCTGCACACACATGCACACAAACACAAATGACATTAGGACTCCTATAGGACATTTTTTTCTATTTATGCAAAACTTCAATTTCAATTATGCGGGGCAGCGAATACCCCTGAGCGAGAGGGCTGGCAAAGTTAATAATACCATTCCCACTGGTACACAAAGAGCAAGGCAAAAAGAAATAAAAAGAGAAGGAAAAGAAAAAACAAGTTTGCTTTTACCTCAAGTTACCTTGATGCAGCGTATCCATTCCACTCAGTCCACATGCCAGCCAGCCTGCTCTGCCAACTTCTCGCATATTCCTCGCCATCTTCAGCCCCCTGCCACCCGCCCCTTCCACTCCGTATGCCTGAGTAGACAGCACTTTAGCCAACTGCCTTAAGTGACTGATAGTTGTTTGCATGTTTGTTTGCTCGGCCGTACACAAACACATTTCTCGACGTTCAACGCTGCGTATGCGTGTTCCAGTTGCTCTTGCTCGCTGCTGTATTTGCTGTTGTTGCCTTTGTTGTTCTTGTGTATTTGTATATTCGTGTTTGCCCAACAGTTATGTGCAGCAACAACGGCAGCAGCGGCGCCTGTTTGTTGTTGCTGCTGCTAAATTACTGTCGCTGGCTGCCATTGTTTTAACTGCTATCGTTTGGGATATGTTTTGACAGCCAGTTACTCATCACAATGCCAGCAGCAAGCAACAATCGTCATGTTGGTTTAAACGCATTGCCTCTGCAAATAATCACCCTCACATTGTCATAATATTGCCATGTCCTCGACGACTACAAACTGCACAAGCTGCGCACGAGGAACAACAAGAGAGATGCGTCCAGCATCTCCACGGGGCAGGGTGCCGAAGTCAAAGTCAACTGCTGCAGCCTGCATTGATGGCGAGTGTCTGCCTTAGAGCACATGCTACACAAACAATTTATAGGAAGCACTTGTGTTCCGTCAAAGTAACAGCTGAATACCCTGTAACTTAACTGAAGTGTTCAAGAATGAAAATTTAAATTTAATTGAAGGTATTCAATTAAATCATTATCATAAAATAATCAAATATGAATTTAAAGTAATTTCTCTTAAAAAACTTTAGACACTTTTACCTTATCTATTTAGAGGATATCTCCTAGACACTCTCTCTCATCTCTTCACTCCTTACTCCCTTTGCTGCTGACTGGTCGCATTATTTCCTCTTTCGAAACTCAATCCCGCTTAACTGCAGCCATGTGAGAATGATGGCAAATTTATTCCGAGTGTCCGGCACTGAGTGGGGTCGTCACGTAGCCAAATACTCTACACTTTTACGATAGCCATAAACCATGAAGAGTTTTACAGCTGCCACCGCAGCTGCAGTTAATAATTTCGATTTGTTTTTTCCTATCTCCTATCTCCTAGCGAATTCGCACGTTAAACGCAGTTTACGTACATCGCCATACCCTCAACTGAGCTCTCGAGCCCCAGTCTCGACGCATAATTGTGCAATTTTCGTTGGAATGCTCGTTTCTGCCATTTTCCATTTGCCGACCCAAAAAAAGAGCACCAAAAAAAAAAGGAGAAACTCATCTTGAGTTTAAGGCTAGCGCTATACAATAAAAAATATTTCACTGTTATTCGCAATAAATGAAAGTTACGTCCAAACTGTAATCAACAGCAGCTGCTGACACTGTCCGACTACAGCAACCATTTGGCAGTGGGACTTCTTTTACTTTATATATTTTTTTTCCGGCATTTGCTGTAACCAATCTGCTTGGTTAATAAGTCTACTTTTATGATTGCGATATGAGCCTGCCACAATACAAATTAGACGGCCGTTAGCGCTTGTATTGATTGTAAGAATGAAATAGGGAGGGCAAATAATAATATATTTAATTAAACTGTGCCCAACGATAGAAGATAATAGCTGAACTAATTACTTTTACAAAGTAGCCCACAACAAATTTATATTGCTAAAGAGCATTCAAACTTCGATAGACCCAAGGAGAAATATTTATTTTTTTGCGATCTTCTAGCTGACGCTGAAAATGACCCGCATTAATGTGCACAGCCATAAGCAGCAGACAGAGGCGAGCTCAAAGACAGCTTCAGGGCCAGCTACAAGGGCAGCGCAACAGCTCACAATTCAAAGAAAGTAACGGAAAACCATAAACAATATTGCCGCGTCCTTTAAGTGAAATAAGAGCAAGCAAGACGGAACACGCTATACAAATGAAGGCCACAATTTTTTAACAACATTAAACAGTTGCGTCTATTAAGGCCATATGCTGCACAATTATGGAAAGTAGACAACAACAACAAAAAATCACATGTATAAAACAACTAGAAAAGTCTGTTGCTGTTGGTCAAACATTATTCTGTTAAATTAGGCCGAGATTCGAATCACTTCTGATTATAAAATATGGAGCAGTATTGGGCCAAAAAAAAATAGGAAAATAACCGCAGTTATTTTAATCAGCAATTCATTATAGTAAGTAAATGTCTGGGAAATCGATATGGCCAGCCCTCACTGCCAGACTAATTTACCTGAGCTGAATATGCATAATTAACTCTGTATGCAATAGAACACGCAATTTATTAAATGCTCCACTCACATAATTATCCCTCTTCAATGTGTCACATGCCCCAGACTTCTGCTGCCTGCCTGCTGGCTTAAACAGGCAAAACATTTCTCTGATCTTAGTCGCACACACGCAGCAATCTGTTAGCAGGAATCAAGTTTCACACGAGCAGCAGACCCAAAGCGGAATTGCTTTAACTAGCTTCAGCTGGATGTAGACACACACTGACACACACACACGCAGACACGCACGCACTCACATAGAGTGGGAGATGAACAGGGACACCTAAGGCAAGATTAATTTGCAATTTATTTGCTTTAATGGTAAAAATGGGCGTTGACATTGGCATAGAGCAGAGAGCATAGAGAGCACAAGGACATCTGTACTGTGCGGCACTATGACACTTTCCATATTCACCGTTACTGTGGGTGTCTTACGTATTCAAGGATTAAGCACTGAGCAGGCGACTGAACTGCTTGTCCGACAAGTTGGTAATTTGGCTAAAATATTTTTCATTCCCAACTACGTATTTATACCCTGTAGCTATAAATTGATTGCAGTAAGAAGTTTTGCATGGTCAAGTGCTTTAAGGCTATAAAGTTATGTGGGGTTATCATATTCTTTTATGATAGATACGAATTTATAGCCTAATTCTTTTAAGTAAATCGGATATGCAAAACATATTTAGATAATCAAAAATAGATTTCAATCTCCTATCTCTCTCTCCTCACTCCTGGGTATCTCTCTAGGCCAGCTAACTCGCTGACATCATTCCAACTTGCTAGTTAATAGCCATATCTGTAGTCATCCCATTTCTGGTGCTTTTGGCAATGCAAAAGCAATTTTACAAATTGAATTTATTTTCAGGCTGCAGCAAATATATTTATGGCAATTTGCATCGTATTTATGTGTCGACTGTCGCTTCATAATTGCTCGGCAAACGTCGCAGCTCGGAATTAATGCTGTGGATGCCCAACTAAGCGCCAATTTTCACAGCAGCTGTAAATTCTCAACATTTCTTGAATTATGAGCATTTCGCGAGGCAATTCCAGAGCTCTGCCCATGTAATTGGGTTTTTAAATGCCAACGAAACGATTTAGAATGATTATGTTAATAAAATTTAATTTTAATTTTAGACATTAAAAATACGAGAAAATGAAAACGTGATCGCTTTATAGCCCATTGGATTTAGATAAAAAATGAGGTTTATCTTCAAGCGCTAATTCGTTCACTTAGTTTATAGAGCGACTGTATTAGATAGAGCGAGTCTTGATTAGCTGACTTAGGAGAGGGGCCTTAGGCCTAAGTGAAAGCTGTGAATGTGTTAATCAGGCTCTGTAGATGAGCTCAGAGTCATTAAGGCATTGGTCGCTATAATCACGCAGCCTACCTCATCCTCTAGGCTAGCAACTATCTACCATCCATCTCCATCTCAATGGCTTCGGCCATCTATGTCTGCCATCACTCTGCATCAGGGCTTAAACTGTGGCTAGGGTCGCATTGTCGCTTTGGCCCGCATTGCTCGCATATTTATGTCATACTCTTTGGGCACAATATTGACAAATATTTGGTCAAACGATACACTTAAATCAATTTTTAAGCATTTGCATGCCCATACAAATTTGATCAACTATTATGCGTTAGGGCCCATTGAATTCGTTTGACCCGACCACTCACACACCCTCCACACTTGACCCGAATAACAAAAATGTCATAAAATTCATATAAATTTCATTTCTCAATTTCCGCCTGCAATTTGGCGTGCCACAAAACACACACCCACACACACACACACAGATGCATCCTTATGCTCTCTGCATAGCTATAAATGCTGAAACACATGGATTTACCCTTTGCCTATATATGTATATATTTATATATATATTTTTACCTATATGTTTTCAGCGCCATGGCCGATGGCATACTCACCGACAATCCGCACCTGGTGCTGCTCTTCTACATGGCTCAGCTGTTCCTACGTGAGCTGGTGAAAAGCTATCGACTCATACAAGTTGTACCCATGGATATGTCTGGCTATTATGGTAAGCTTTAAAGGCGTGCGTCTATGTGTGTGTGTGTGTGTGTGTGTGTGTGTGTGTGTGTGTGTGTGTGTGTGTGTGTGTGTGTGTGTGTGTGTGTGTGTGCACTGTTTATTTGTCATTGCAATTCAGGGCAAGAACTGCAAGTGCTTAGCCATTGTTTGCCATTTGGCAGTTGCATTCCGCTTGACTGTACAAGCTTTGATTGCCAACATTTGTTGGCCATGTTTGCAACTCGAACGTGAGAGTGGAAAAGTTGACTCTGCCCTTTAGTCTGGCCTTGACTGATTGGCTCGTCGCATTCGCTTTGGCATTCGAATTCGTATTCGCTTTCCGAGTTGCACTTCAATAATGTCAAAACGCAAATTGCTGACCATAAATTTTTTAATTACCAACCCCTCACCCTGCCCCAGCCCGAAACTGTCAACAAACGGAAAGGAAATGCAAATATTTACAATGCGAAATTCCTGAGAGCGGGCTGCCTGAGCAGGGGCCTGGCTTTGTGGCTTTGTGGGCTTTTAACTGCAGTGAATTTATGGCAGCTAGCGTATTCACATGTTGGCCAAAAAAATGCATGCAGCCCAATGCAATTTAAATGCTATAAAAAATGCAAAAACTCAGTCCTATGAAAGCAGGTTCTGTGGGTGGATGTGTGTGTGTGTGTGTGGGGCTGACACAGGCGAGGCAAGGCTTGTAAAGGGAATGAGCGTAATATTTTATACATTTATATTTATATATATGCCCCCAGATTCAATATACATATACATATATATGTATATATGGCTAGCCGGGCTTAAAAATCTGCAATGTCAGCGAGTAGCTCCAGTTAACATAAATCAAAAATTGCAGTGGTCGCAATTTATGCAATGCTTTTTATCCATACGCATTTTGCGTGTGTCGTTAAACAATCAAAATCATAAAGCTCGACATGTTTTTAGTTGTTGAATATTTTTTAATTACCCCCCCAAACTGCGATTGGCATCGATGAAGATTGATGCTGTTTCCAAATTGATAGCTCAAAGCATTTGCAATGCACAGCGAAACAAAAATGTCCCGTGCTACAGGTGGGGCTCAAATAAATAGTTTTAGCCAATTATTGCTAAATTTTTGCGAACACAAAAATATTTAATTAAAATTCTAAATGCTTTGTGACAATAAATAATTCGAAAATAATTATAGATTTATTGATCGAGTAAAACTATGCGTAAAATTTATTAAAAATAATATATATTATTTTAGAGAATTTTAAAGTGAAATGAAATGACTTAAATATTTATAATAATATTAGCATATTATTATAATAATTATTATTATTAAAATAAGAAAATGGTAGAATAAAATTATTAAATTAATATAAATAAATTAAATGATAAATTTTATTTTGAGAAATTTATCATTAAATATAGTTTTAGATATGCTAAGTAGCTATGCTTTATGCTCTCCATATTTGCATCTTGAAGTAAGCATAGCAAATGGCTGACTAAAATTTCCATTAAAAATTAAAATAGATTACAAAAAATATATAGATAAACAATCCGAATATAAATAATATTGCCATTCTTTATTATTCACCAGCTTTAATACTAATAAATATTATTATATACAAGCAATACACAAATTTGCCGCACACAAATTTAATAAAAAGTTAGTTATTAAATTGTAGGTGAAAAGTTTCATTCAATATCAATCAGTTAGTCAGCTTCTAGGTTCAAAGCGCGTCACAAAATGAAAAATGTTTATTTTTCGCCTAGCATTCAAAATATACAGAAAATAAAAATAAGTCTAATAAAGCAAAATAGAAAAACATGCACACACACACATACACAAATGGCAAGAAAATTGTTTGCATAAAGAAAAAAAAAAACAGGAAATCTATTTGCTTTTCTAGTATGGGAGTCAGTTCCACAGAAAAGCTAATAAAAATAATTTCGAATATATAAGCAAACTAAATGTTTTATTAGCAAAGTGCATTCAAAGCTAGAAGCAGCAACCGACGCTCGTCAGTCAGTAAAGATTTTTTAGTATTCATATATATATATATTGTTTGTGTTTTATTTTTTGCAACAATTTTGTAGAGAATCGTGCGGGTCCATCAAATTTGGGCAACGTTATTAGCCAAATACTGCTGTGCAAGCAATTCACGCCCGACTTCAATGAGGAGGAACTCTGCAGCATCACAAAGGACTCGCAGGACATCGCCATGCTGCTGTCCGAGATGCAGGAGTACATGCCGCAGCACGAGGCATATTTGGGTGAGTTTCATGCGCAGTCGCTGTTGCACTGTGCACTTTCACATTTAGCCAAGGTCCAGGCCGGAGGCCAAACCGAAATTCCATTGACCACAAAACTGTAAACTGAAACTGAAAGTGAAAAGAAATGCAAAGTTGCCAATGGCCATTAGTATTTATGTATTCACGTTTTGCACACACACATAATCATTAATCAAATGCTCTGAAGGTGTATATAGTATATATATATATATATAAATTGGTATTACTTTTCATTCTCATTCATTCACATAGAACGCAATGCGGCACTGGATACAAATGCTCCGTGGCCGACAAAACGACGCCAGAATTATATATGCAAGAACATGAGCCTACTATGCTGCGTGTCTCGCCCCAACTATCTCTGAGACGAGGCCGAAACTGTGTAATCTTAAGTGTTACACACACACACACACACACACACACACACACACCTACTAATATCAATTACTAGCGTTTAAGTTAAGCCCATGAAAAGCTAAACACAGAAATGTTAGAGCCTAAGTGTAAACAACTCAATTAGCAGAAGGGAAGGAAGCACTTTTCACACAAAACACAATTAATGCTACTTTAAATATATATATACATTTAGGAGAGTTGTGTATAATCAAAGTTAGTTATGCTGCATATACAATACATATTTAATGTAATTGCTCTTCATTTTGGCATTCCGTTTGCCTCCGAGCAAAGATTCTAGAAGTGTTATACCACTACAACAAAATACAAAGAAAAAAGTCAAAATGATATTAGCTGAAAGGGACTGAGCTTTCGGTTTTGTTCAAGCTATTATTCAAGCACTTCAATTCAACCCAGCAACAACTTTAAATGCGCTTCTTGAAAGCTCAGCTCGCATTTTCAGCCAATGTCATTGCAAATTTAAGATTTATAAAGCAGTTAAGACTTTTTTTTAGGCCTGTAAATTGTAGCTACTGTATAGAGTTATTTATTATATATCTATATATACTAATAAAGAAATATATAATTGTGAACACGACAAAACACACATTCAATATACAATATACCGTTGAGTTAACATTAAGATTAGACAAGCATTGAGTAAGGAAAGCAGGCCAAGGCAGAAGAGGAAAACTTAGACGTAGTCTCAAATGATACTAGAATGGTAATTAAATAAAAAGCCTGTCCCAGACAACGTCATGGGCATGTGTTTGAAGAAAAGCAATAAAATAGAACGTTGTTAACTTACACACACACATACATACACACACACAGTGAAAGCAAGAAAAAGTCCTTAGGTTTCTGTTAGTTTATTTCAAAGACAACAACAAAGTTGAACTGTGCGCCGTACCTAAAAACAAAGAAAGTGCAACATGTGACCAATACAAATGTTAATTAACAGAGAAATTGTTCGTTAAATGTCAGTCCTATAAGCAACATGTTAAATAGTGTAACTATCAAGTTAAATAAATATAAATATACATATAAATCGAATATATTCCACAACAAATGCACGTCTATTAAAACGCACTTAGTCACTATGAAATGCATAAAATTTAATTCATCAAATTTCCAAATAGATATATGTAAACAATAAAAAAAAAAAAGCTAGAACTCAATTCTCTTGCAAATATTAATAACAATGTATTCCAATTCAATAATCCACAACATAAGAAAATTATATTGTTTAGCTATTTATTGTGATGCAAAAAAAAATAAATAAATATTAATGTCATTATTTATTTATTTTTCGCTGTCGCTGCATTGTTTTTCTTTATGTTTTGATTATTTGTATGCCAAATGTATGTAATATGTACACTATGCAATCAATTCGGTATTTATATGCCCTATTTTCTACGGCTAAACAAAAAATGTAGCTTGAATATTTAGTGAGTTTTTCATAGAAGCTTTAATCTAATCTATATAAAAATTTTTTTTTAAACAATCCAAGCGCACACTAAACGCTCTTTATTAATCTGAACGAATTTTTTTTTTTTTTTTTTCAAATTTTACAACTTTTCTATACATTGGCCTTTTTCATCTCTAGCTAAATCAATCTAATACTACTACATATTTTGCTAAAGAACCAAGAGAGCGTGCTTTTGGTGATTTAAACTTCGTCTCAGCTTGATCACAAATTTTAAATGGTATTTTACTAACTTAAATGGCAGATCATATTGAACATTTTAATAAATTAATATTTTAAGCAACTTCCAAAATAGATTTATTGAAAATAATATCACTATTGCTTGTTCAGCATTTACAAGAAAGCTGCACATCAACTAAAATTATTTTAAATGTCAATCTAATGAAATTTGCAACAATAAAGCATTTACTTTTTCTGATTTTACTAGTCAATTATTCATTAGCATTAAAAAGTCTATGGTATCTCGTATGCAAGCACGAAGCACTAGTAACATTTTTAATTGTTCCATTATTTTTCCCGCTTTATATTTAATGCATATTAATTAAACGTACAGAAGTGAACAGAACAGAACAGCACAGCACAGTTTATTTCAATTTCAGCACAAATTATTTAGCAATTGAAATCGATTTGCAGTGCAAACAAAATGAGATAATCGAATCTGTTGAGCACTGGACAAATAAATGTTCGGACTCAGTTTCAATAGCTGCTTATAAAAAATTTAAGCTTGAATGCATATTTAGTTGAATTGAACAAGAAATACAATACGAAATTACAAAAAAAAAAAAAAAAAAAAAAAAAAAATCTCTACATTATTTGTTAGTAAATTATATTAATTATTTATTTAATAAATATTGTAGGCATAAATCAAACACCAAAATGCAAATTTATACATATATGTATATTTATAGAGAAATTGATAGAAAGTTCATAATATCGTAAATTATAATTATTAGTCAACTCGTAAAGTACTTGTATGTACCTAAATAAATTATATATATATATATATATATATATACATATATATATACATACATATATTTAGCACAGTGAAGATTGTTTTACTATATTGCAAACGAAAAAATGAATCCATATAAAATAAATATATACTAAATGTGATTGTTATATGATATTCATATACAAATTCAGTAAATGTTTGTTCATGTTATTTGCAACTAAAAATCTGATCAACTGATAAAAAGAAACCAAAAAATAAAATATATATATATATATTTATTAATAGATGAAACACAAAACAAATACCAAAACTTGGGGTACCAATCAAATATAAATAAAAATATTTTTAGAGAAACCAAAAAAAAACCTCAACTTCTACTTTCATTTTTACTCCAAGCTTACTTAAACCACGAGTCGCGCCAAACTGCTAGCAACGTGTAGCATAAAATTTATTACACTTCATAAAAGTGAGCGATTAACGTTTATGGATGTGATTTCAACACGAACCCATGCACACACACACACACACTCACACCCACATAGCCATGCACACCTCCATCGACACATTGTATGTGAAAGGAATAGCTTAAATGACCTCCTGCTACGTGCTCTGGCATTTACGCATTCGACAATAGATACATCTTAATCAATCTTACCCTGCACCCTGTCGAGCTAAAGGCGAATATAGCAACCCAACGCTCAGCTTAATTTAAACGCTGCACGGGAGCCGCTTTCCACGGTTTCAACTATTGACACTAGTTGAAAAGGAGTAAAGCTTATTTTATTGGCAAAGAGTTCCTTCATTGCCAATAAAGCGGAAAATAAACAGAAATATTAACATAATATTAACTTAAAAGTGTTTCGAATCAGAAAAACAAATCCGAATATAAATCCCGAGACAAGCATTTAATAAACTTTCAAAGGTAGTTGGCGATTGCTTTGATTAAATAAACAAATCAAAGGCTTCGACTTTCCAAATTTTCTATAACAGTTCTTAGAAAAAATGGCAGTCCTAACTTTCAAATAGTTAAACATCAGTTTCAAAAAATATCCAAATTTTAAAAGTTGCATTTGAAAGATTTTGAATAATTTCTTAATCCAAGATTTAAAGTAAGTGAAACAAAAAATTATCATTCTTATATATAATATACGAAATGTCCGGCATAGACCTTAATGTGGCGAATCCAGACTCTTCACTAAAAGTTTTAATGCGCTTTCATGAGCTTTTTACATATCTTAACATGAAGTGTATTAGAGGCATGATTTAATTTAAAATTAAGCTTAAAGTCAATAGGAAATAGCCACATTTATTTATCAACCGTCAAGAACTCACATCAATCTCTGATTCAAATCTGACTTTCAGCCAGTGTCATTGTAATTAGTTCACCTTCCCTTGCTACATTCCTGGTTCATTTGCATGGTAACGTGGACATGGTCTTAGAAACTGTATGTAAATTAGTTGAGAAACTTCTGCCCCAGCAGCAACAGCACCACCATAAAACGCTGCACCACAGTGCCACGGGCCACGCACTCGAAATGCTGTCGATTGCCTTTTGATGTGGCGGGTGTGGTGGCGGATGTGGTGGCGGACAGTGCGATGGGTGGCTCGCAGCCCACATTGAGTACGTGCCGCTTAAGCCAAATGCTTCAGTTACCGCAGATTTCAACACCTTTGCGAACGGCAGTGCTGATCTGGAGTCACACGAGAGGTGTTAATAGATTTACGTGGCTGCTGTGGTGTGGCTGGTACTGTGGCTACGGCTGCGGCTCCGGCTGTGGCTGTGGCTGTGACTGCTTTAGCATTGAGCCAATGTACTTGTTTATTTAAACATGCCTCAGGATCCAAACGACAATGCCACACGCAACTCGCCCGGCCGCGCCAGGGGCTCATTACGCTCAAATAAAAACGGCAAATAAAAACTGAAACAAAAAGCAAAACAAAGCCAGCAGCAAACACTGGCGCAAAAAGTTTCCAAAAGTAAAACTGCAAAGTGGACATTATTTTATTTTTTTACTTTACTTGTATTTGTATTTTCATTTGTATTCGCGTTGGCAGTGCAGCAAGTCCAAGGACGAGAACAGATTGCCAGGGCAATGTCGGCTGAGACAATGCGACAGGACAACTGTCTGGCTGCTTGACTCCCTTTTGGGTCTCCTTTCCTCTCTCTCTCCCTCTATCTCACTTTCTGTCTCTATCTGTCTGAATTTGTGTGTGTACGAAACCAAAATAAATGCCAACAAGAATAATTCCCGGCTAATCCGATTTAGTGCGCTGCCTGCTTTCAGAGCAAACAAATACAACAAAGAGAGTGCCCACTTGATTATATGCCCGCACAGGCATTGTCTGCCCATTGGCCAGAGCATTTAAGTGCCAGTGTGCCAGCTGGCCAGCTGTCCAGCAAGCCAGTTTGCTGCCTGATAAGCCAATTCACGGTGGTAAACATAATGTAGTCTGTGCATTTATCTAAGCTCCCCAGCTGAACAATTCCCTTTCTTTGCATAGAGAATTTCATAATCGCAGCTGCAAATATGCTTGAAAGGGTCTGCAGCTAGTTCAGCTAAGGAAATTGTAGATTTCAGAATTGGCTGAGTGAGTACCTAGCTTAAAGATTGAAAAATCCATATTCTGTAAGTATAAATACAATTTAATTTGTATTAATTATAAATATCTGAAATAAAAATGTTTATGAAATACTTTTATTATATTAATTTTAATATAATTAATAATTATATTAAATCAACTTATTGTGACTATTATTCTTAAAGTTGTGCCTGATTTTGTATTTTCTGCTGTTTTTTAATGGGTTTAGTCGTTTTGTGTGTTCTGCTCATTTCTTATTTCATTCGCTGCGTTTTACAAAAAAAAAAAAAAAAAAAAAAAAAACATTCAAATAAAAATAAAAATAACAAAAAATAAAACACATTAAAAACAAATTAAAAACATAATTTTTATATTTCGGTTTGCGTTGTGGTTTCATTTCATATAATTAAATAATGACAATGCCGCATTGTCAGGACTCTCGAGGAATTATTGACTGAGAGTCCGTTTGCGCCTGGCCACGCCCAGTTATACTTGGCCGAAGGCTCTTGTATGCAAAAGAAAGAAGGCCGAGCTAAGGCCTGAGCTAAAACCTGTTACAGACAGCTGCAGCGTAGTGGAAATTAAAGCGGAGCAATAACCTTATTCGGCTCGCACCTTATCGCAATGGCGGCTCGGCTTTATGTCTCCCGAGGTCCCCGGGAGTCGAACGTATTTGTGGCATTAAAGCCTTGTGTGTGTGGCAAGGCAAGGCAGCTTGAAATTGATGTGCGCTGCACACATTGGAATCGCGTTATTTAATGGCCAATGCCTGATATGATCTCGCATAGCGTTAAAAGCTTCCGCATGGC